GGCCCTCTTGGGCCGTCTTGGGGCCCCGAGAGAGCCCTGACAATTTCGAAGGGGGCTTGGGGCCTCGTTGGGTCGCCTTCGCCTCGGGGTTTGGGCAGGGCTTCAAGCGCGCCGCGAGAGCCCCGCCCCCCCCCCGCGGGACTTATCAAGGGCCCTCTGCGTGGCAGGTTCCCCTGTGGCGTCCTCTGGGCCTCGCTGCAAGTTGCGCGCGCCCTGAACAGGCCCGTGGGTTCGCATGCATTAACGACAATGTCCAGGCATCGCACTTCGAATACGAGAGTTAATGTAAGCGTTGCCCAGGGCACTTGTCGGTTTGAGTCACATCGCCTTTCTGCTCCTCCTCAGGTTCATCGTTTGGAAAACAGGCTCGTCAATGTCCAGGCGGCGATTAAGATTTACAACAACTGCGTGGAACAACACATCACAGACGAGGAGTTCGCAGCCGCCATCAACGATAGAATCGAGGCCAACACCGATTGGACCAGCTCGATCAAGGAGAGGTTGTTGGTCAGGATATGGAAGCGGTCCATTGATGAGATCAAGGACGACCTGTCGCCAGAGAAGGTGGAGGCTTTCGTGCCGATCTTGAGCCCTTTTGCAAAGGCCAGCGTCGATAGCGCCGAGGTGCAGGACGAACTCGTCGAGAGGTCGATGCTTGATATCCCATCGATGCCATTTGACCCCCACCGTCCAGCAATTAATCAACTCGACGGCCCACTGCTGGAGCGCATGCTGGTTTCTCACAAGGTCTTGGTGTACGACGTCATCAGGGTGTTGCTCCAGCTGGGGGAAAGCCGCGCCAGCGCATGCCTGCACGTCGTCAAGGGCGTCAAGGGCTTGTTGGAAAACGCGCTCGAGGACTTCGAAGACACCCCTGAAGGCTTGGAGACCTGCCTGACAATATGCAGGGCCATCGAGATCTTGCTTGACGTGGACCTCGACGAGCCAGACGAGGCATCGGTCAATAAATTGCGCAACGCCTACAAGTCTGATGCAAGTGGCTTGCTCGCAGATGCATCCATATCCGCCTGCCTGCGGCGACGCCGCCCGCCCCCCTCCCTGGGAGGCCCCCAAGAAGCCCCGTGGGCCCTTTATGGGGCTTCCAACAGTGCCAAAATAACCGCAGCCCCCCCCCCCCCCCCCCCCCCCCCTCAACGAGCTTCCTAATGCGGCCCCGAGAAGCTCTCAAGAGGTCCAAAGAAGATGCGTAGTTCGAGGGGCGGGGGGTCCGTTCCAGCTTTAAGATACACCAAATCATACTAGAAAGCAGACGGGGCATTAAGGAGCCCACTCCGTGCAAGCACGGTAGCGGATATGTTCACACGGTCGATTGCTACTCGGACCTGCTCAACAGCTTCGCCAGGTTTGCCCCCGCATTCAAGGACCAGAAGAGGAAGTTGAAAGATGCTTTGCAGTCGGTCAACTCATCGGGCATGGGCCTGCAGAGCTTCTGTGCTGAGATGCGGAACGCACTGGTGATCGTAGAGGAGATGCGGGCGACCGCGCGGCCAGGGAGCACTACGACCGCGGAGAAGAAGCTGCAAGATAAGCTGAAGGAGCAGCTGACGCACTTCCTCGGGCTCGTGCAGGGCGGCACTTTCACCGAGACCGAATAGTTGCCCCTCTTCTCGGACATGCTTGGCAAGGCTCTCGAGGCGTGGCCGTCTAGCCCCTTGGTGCCCGAGATGCAGCAATTAGTTACGACGCAATCGCTGGCGTTGGCGTCGTCAGCAAAATGGAAGAGAATCAAGGACGCCCTCCGAGCACCGTTCTGCACCGAGGAGGGGGGCTACGTGGCGGGCCCGCTGCAGAGACTCACCGCGGAGCTCAACGACATTGGCAAAGCTGAGATCCAGGAGGAAGAGGTCGTCACCTTGGTCGCATCATGGTTCAAAGACTTGCGTGGCCACATGGTCAACAAGTTCCCATTTGCTGCGCCCGAGGGCCCCGTTGCCTTGGAACACGTTGCCCGCGTGCTGGGGGAGACGGGCGTGCCCCATAGCGTTAGCGATGATCCGATCTGCAAGCTACACGCGCTCTACGACAAGTTCAATGTGCACATCGGGAGCGGCAATTCACATGAAGAGCGCTGGGGCTCTGATAAGGACAATATCATGATCAAGGACCTGTTGCAGTGCTATGCTTCGTTGCATCCCTTGGCCGGCCTGCCTGATGCAGATCCGTTCCCTGCCGCTTCTGCCGCTCGCACGGCCTTCGACGCCGTCAAGGTCGGCATTAATGACACGAACGCCTGGGTGACCACGGCGCACAAGGACAACTTGAAGGCCAAGCTGGATGAGATCACCTCCTTTGCCAAAGGTGGACAACGTGGGAAATCATGGCACGATGGTGTCGAGGCCGGGTGGTCGCTATCACAAGTGCTCGCCCATGCCAGAGATACTTTGTTGAAGATTCCCAACAGGAAGCTCAACGAGGCCATCAAGTCCATCAACGCGTTGAAGGGCGATTACAAGCGCGTGGCGACACTGTTCAACGGGACAACAGATAAGCCATTCATCAAAACTGCTGAGGACCTGGTTACGACCCTGGAGGTAACGAATGCGGAGGCCCTCCTATGCGTTGCGTTCACTGAGGAAGAGAATACCCCCGTCGAGAGCTTCAAGGCCTCCCAGCTGAAGACTGTGGTCCACCGCATCAACAAAGGTCTCACACAGGCGGCATGGGACAGCGACGTCCACGAGATGTTGCGCCACCGCGGCAACATGGCCATGAAGTTGAAGAAGGCGTGAGGCGCCTAGGCCCGTCCAGACATGAAGACTAGCAGACGCCGCTTCGTCAGTGAGCCCCGCCGCTCCGTCAGTGAGCAACTCAACGGCCGACAGTGTTAAACGAGAGACAACCGCCAGCGTGCAACGCCAGATGCCTGCTCGGTACTGCTGTCGATGCTGTATGCTGATGCTGCTGCTGACGGTCCTCCTCTATTATCGCCTCCTCCCCGCACCGCCCTCCCCTCCTACTATATCGCTCCTCCCACAACCCTGGGCTCCTCCGAGTTGCAATCCCGCCCCCCTTTCCACCGTCCCTTTGCGCCCTTCCACGCCTGCCCCCTGCCCCCTCCCCCTCTCCCTTCACCTCCCGCTTCTCCCCGACCCCCCTCTGCCCTCCACCGTCCCCTCACCCCCTCTCTCCTCGCGCATCCTTACTCCGCCCCGCTTCCCTCCCTCCCGCCCCCCCCCCCCCTTTCGCTTTTGCCATCGGAGCAGTCGGAGCTCGTCGCAGCGGTGGCCACGACGAAACAGATCCAGTGGCCCAGATCAGGGGGGCCAGACATATCACTTGCAGGACGGCGCCTGCAAGAGGCCCCGAGACGGCCCAAGAGTGCTCCAATACGGCCCGCGATGCCATCGACACGGCCCAAGAGTCCCCCGCGAGACCCGAAAGGACCCCCAAGATGGCTTGAAAAGGCATGCGCCGCTGTTTTTCCATAGTCTTGAAACCAGTTCGGGCGTTCTCGCCTTGTCGGGCGTCTGGTAGCCCGGGGAAGCCCCGCCCGCCTCCCAGCGTCGCCCGGGGACCGCCCAAGAAGCACCCAAGAAGGTCCGAAGACGGCCCAGGAAGCTCCCAAGACGGCATGAGAAGGGGTCGAACGTTGCCACGAGGGCCCCCAGAGAGAGCCCAGGGGGGAAGACGCGCAGAGACCCCCCCAGATCGTTAAAGATTGCTTTCGCGAGAAGTTTTTCTGGATGATGGAAGACCCATGCGCGCTCCAAGATGGCGCAATATGGCCTCAGTGCAAACCAAGATGACCCCAGGACGGCCCAAGGTGGCTCCATGAGAACCCCCGAGAAGGCCTGAAGAGGCAAACATCGTAGATCGGTCTTCGGCCGTCGAAGGGCGTTAGCGTTCTCGCCTGCTCGGGCTTCTGTCAACTTAACAAGCACTTCGCAACAACTCTGCAGGCACGGCCGACCAACGATCTGTCGCTCTATCAGAACCAGAGCGCTTGCCGCCCCCGTCCCAAGCAGGCGGCGGCCGAGAGGAACGCGAACGCAAATGCACGAAACCGTGGCGGTGGCGAGTATTGGTGGCCGCAGAACACGTGCTCGTAGTGGTGACCCCTCTCCTCCCCGCCCTCATCACCACACTTCCTTTGTCCACGGTTCCCCTTCCGTCTCCCTCGTCACCCTGCGCCTCGTCATCATGTCAGCTCCTCGCTCCCATTCCTCTCATCTCCCCTCTTCTTCCTATCGCACCCTATGTGCACCGCCGCCCCAGACCCCCTCGTAGATGCCATCAACATTGTCATATTCGTTGTATTCGTCCTTGCGCCACAGACACTTCCTCAATCTCCTCCCCGCTTTTTTGTTTATCGTAACGACGGCGGCACGGGGTGCAACTGGCAGAGCGGGCAACCGCGTCTACGGTGCGTCAACGCCGCCATGCACTTACGATTGTCCAAAGTGGTAGCGGTGCGTTGACGCTTTGACGCGGCTGCTGGGCATTCGGGTCGCCTTCGGCAAGAGTCCCGTCGGCGACGCGTTCGCCAACAGTCAGACTAAATGTTGGGTTGTCCTGCAGAGGTCAGATGTTGTCTTGAAAATCTTGCGTCGTGGGGATTGCATCTTGCGCGGCCAACTGCCACGTTCGAGCAATGGCTCGCGATTGCGGCACTTCCGATGTCGAAGCTGCTGTTTTTCGGGAACACTTGCCTTCCTTTTCGTGCGACACCACGCGCGTGCGACTACATGAGGGCCCCGAAAAGCAGCAGCTTCGCCATCGGAAGTGCCGCAATCGCGAGTCATTGCTCGAACGTGGCAGTTGGCCGCGCAAGATGCAATCCCCACGGCGCAAGATTTTCAAGACAAGCGCGGGTCAATTGCGGAGTGACTAACATGTTGAAAACAACGCGAATCGGACAAGCCCGCGGGGTGATTGCAGGGTCCACGCGGGGTGATTACAATCGGTGCGCAGGAAGCCGTGCAGGATAATTTGCGGGGTCCCTGCGGGGTGATTTTGTTTTCTCCGCTGTGGCAGGATAGACGGCCTCGGGAGTCCGCCCGCCGCAGTCTCTGCGCGCTCTCTTGGCCCGTTGTAGTTTTAGTCGGGGATGCGCGGCTTCGCCGAGAGCTCCAGGGCGCGCGCGGTGGAGTGTAACTGCAGGCGCGCTGCAGCTCAGCAGATTGCGACGATTCTTCGTCGCCCCGTTCGCCGTCGCCTGCCCTTGTTACCCTGGCTCCACGAGGTCGGGGCCAGTTCGAGGCCCCTTGTCCTGTTGCCGCCGCTGCTCGCCGCCGGCCTTCCCGGGGCTCGTGCAGCGGCCGGCTTAGTCGCGGCTGGATCGCGCGATCGGCCGGCCCGCCCCTTCGCCCCTGCGGCGCCCCCCCCCCCCCCCACCCCTATGGCGCCCGCCCTTCGGAGGGGGTCCGCTGGCGTGCGCCGCCAGCTGCGTTGTTTGAGCCGCTAGTTGCGCGCCGCCCGATTAGTTTCGTTCGGACATGGTTCCTCGGGGGCCCGGCGCGTTGCGGGGTTGAGCGGGGAAAAGGCAGTCATCGTCGTCGTCGCCGCCCGTCGCCATCGCCGTCGTCATCGTCGCTGGCATCGTCATCGCCATCACATCATCGTCTTGTTCATAATCGTCAGCATTCGCCCTCCTAGCTGGGACCATCTCACCATGACAATTGGTCAGCATCGTCGCCGTCAGCACATCGCGTCTTGACGCCCACCATCACTGCCTCATCGTCATCACCACACCATGCTCTCGCACTCGCTCACGCACTCAAGCGCTCATCATCTTCAGGAGGTTCCGAGCGGGAGTCTCGTCTGCGAGCGCATTGGGGACCGCGACTCATGTTTCTAAACCGAGAGGGTCGTCGGAAACATGTAATTGTCGTTCTCGGACGGGGGCGTCGTCTGTGAGCGAATTGCAGGGAAAGCTCACGCGAGGGCCCCCTCTCTTTAGGGTCTGCAGCTCGCATGCTCCGAGCGGGCCGTCGGTAACTGTCTCCGTCGTCACGTTTGGGCTCCTGACGTTTGATTACGAAGGGCGCGCCGAGCGGGGGCTTCGTCGGCGAGTGAATTGCGAGGGGGTTCTCGTGCCGGAGCCAAGCGGTTCGTTTACGAAAGAGTTGCGGAGGATTTTTGGGCGGGGGTTGTCCTTCTGAGACTTGCGCGGGAACAGCTTTGATGCCTGCTTTCCAAGAGGCCCAGGAAACGGAAAGCAGAGGCCGACAGGTTGTGAAGAGCGCGTCGCTGTTTTGAAGTGGCTGACGGCTTGCTGCAGCAAGCCGAATGCGGCCGCGACGATGGCGAGGCCGGGGCGCGGGCGAGGAGCTTGCTCATGCGCAGGCCCAGCGAGCAGGAGGTCATGTTTCAGGATTCGGAGCCGCGCGTCGAGCCCCGTTCGTGGTTCACCCTCGCGCGCAAGTCCTACCTGATTTCGCGTTGTCGCCGGGTCTGACGCTGCGCAGGGGCGTCGCCATCGATTGCGCCATGGACGAGGACGCTGGTCGCACAGACATGTCCGGCGAGCAAATGTCGGGCGAGCAGCGGTGGCTGCATTTCCACGTCGTGGTTTCCCGCGCTACGCTCATGCGCTACATGCTGATCCCGCGGCCGCCTCCGCGAGAGCCCATGAGGCGCGGTCAACCGGCTTCCTTGTGGAAGGCGCTCGTGGAGTCCCACAAGGCAACGGGGATCTCCGCGGTTGAGGCGGACCAGTTCGCGGCAAAGTTGGGTTTCGCGCTGCCTCCCGCCCGAATGCTGCCGCGACTAGCTCGAGACTTTTGGGGTTGACCCGACGGTTTGCGCCCGTGCCCCCTGCCTTTCGCGGGGCTGCCCTGATGGCCTGGCTCGCGGGGCTGCCCCATCGGCGTCGCGATCTGGCTTTCGGAGAACGTGTTCATATTGGCTATGGCGGCCGTAGCGGCATCGACGCCGAGGGCAATTAAATTCTCTTGCGTGCCCGTGCTAGAGCCCGTTTCTGTACTGCTTGGGGCTTGACGGGCGTCATGGCCCCCGGCCCCCCCCCCTTTATGACGTAGCGCTCCCCCTTCCACTGCGCTCTGGGCACTACCCCCCAGTGCGCTCCGAGCACTGCCGCTGTGCGCGCTGGGATCCGCGCGCGTGTCCGCGTAGGAATCCGCATAAGGTTCTGGTCCGCAGTCATCGTCATCGTCGTCGTCGTTGCTCGTGGCTTGTCGCTTGTCGCTCATAGTCGTCGTGCGCGCGGATGTGGCTGAAGCCTGCTTTTATTCCGGGCCGATGACGGCAATCATCTAGGGGGGGGATAGGAAGGGGGTTGATGACGTCACGTTCCGCGCCGGCGGCGTATAGGCATGCCCAGGAATGACGGAGGACGGGTCGCGCCAGCATGTAAGTGGCGATTTGTACCACAATGCTTGTGTACACCACAGTGCCTGCGTGCACCACAGCGCCTGTGCACACCACCGCCTATATACACCACAGCAGCCGCGTGCAACACAGCGTCAGTTTGCGCCACCGTGTTTGCGGGAACACCAGCTCTTGTGCACACCACAGCGTTTGCGTTCACCACATCAACCGTGTGCAACACAGCACCAGTATACACCACAATGCCTGCGTGCATTGCACTGCCTGTGTACACCACGGCGTCTGCGTGCACCACAACAACCGTGTGCAACACAGCACGATTGTTGTATATATAATGTGATAATGGATCGTCATGACAAAATGGAGCGTTCGTGGATTCCACAAGCAACAATATACAATAATCGTTATGGACAACGAAACGCCGCTGGAATCTACGTGTCCTCCCGACTACGCCCGCATCACCCTAACTCTTCACTTTGCGTCCAGGAGGTTCCAGCTAAAATGGCCGTCCGAGAACCAAGTGGACCGATTCAATCGACCATTCTGCGGTGCGCGCTGAGATGCGCCCGTGCGCTGTAGGCCAACCCGCACAAGAGGGGGCTAGGAGGAGGAGGAGGAGGAGGAAAAGGAGGAGGAGGAGGAGGAGGAGGAGGAGGAGGAGGAGGAGGAGGAGGAGGAAGAGGAGGAGGAGGAGGAGGAGGAGGAGGTGGAGGTGGAGGAGGAGGAGGAGGAGGAGGAGGAGGAGGAGGAGGGGGGAGGAGGGAAGGACGTCGCATTCGATTATTAGCAATTTCCTGGCGTGGCGTCTAGTTGTCCGCAGCAGATCCTCACGTACATGTTTTTGTTTTAGACCTGTCCTATGCACGCAGGCATTGTGGTGTACACCAGCGCTGCGTTGCACGCGGATGCTGTGGTGTAGACGCGCCCTGTGGCGTGCACAGGCGCTGCGGTGCACGCGAGCACTGTGGTGTACACAGGCGTTGTGTTGCACATGGTAGCTGCGGTGAGCAATTGTACGCCGGCGCTGTAGTGTACGCAAGCATTGTGGTGTACACAAGCGATACGTTGCACACGCTTGTTGCGGTGTACGCAGGCGCTGTGGTATACATGCGCGCTGTGGTGCACGCGAACGTTGTGGTGTACACAGGCGCAATGGTGCATATCGCCACCTACGTGCTGCTCGCGTCGTCGTCGTCGTCGTCGTCGTGATCGTCGTCGTTGTGGTCGTCGTCGTCGTCGTCGCTCGTCGCTCGTCGCGTCGCGCGCGCGGGCGCGGCTGCGGTGCCGGAGCCACACGTCGGGGGGGGCGTCACGTCATACCCCCCCCTCGTCCCCCCCCCCCCCCATGACGTCCGTCATCGCCGAACATAAGGAAACGCGCTCTTAGAGGGGCGCGTGGGGAGGTGGATGGGGGAAAAGAGGCAGAATGGCGAGGATGGGGGCAGTGCAGAGGGGTGGGAAAAAGGCATCCGCCAGAGCGAAAAGGAAAAGGGCGAGAAGGGGGCGGGAAGCTTCTGCATCCGAAAGGACGACGATCAGTTTATTTCAAGGTGGGTACTATCATGCAGAGTCCGACCGTCGGATTTATTTATTGGCCGTCGTGGAGCCCGCCGACAAACCCACGGATCGTTTCATAAAGCTCATATGGCCGTAACCGGCCCGGGCCTGACACGACACGGATCGGCTTGCCCAGTGTGAACCTAAGATGTTCCAACCAAATTCCCAACCGGGACTTTACTGTCATCTACAATCTTGCATCCGCGTTCTTGCTTCTCGCGTTTTCCCCCGCTTCCTTCATACGGTTTTCCCCACCCGTCCGTTCTTCTCTATTCTTCTTGTAGTTGCAAACCGATTCGCGTATGCTCCCGCCGTGCCTAACTGTTTCGGCAAGTCGTCCTTGCCAGGTCAAACACGTTTTTTGGCCCGTCGTGCCAGCGATGTTGCGGATTTGTAGCCACAGGCCCAGCCTCGAATCTCATCCTCCCCTTTTTCTTTTGCCCGATCCTTATTCATCTGTTCCTCCACGTTTTCTCGCTCAGCTGCGATTCCAAAGTCCAGAAAAATTGTGCTGAGTGGCCGTCTTCGCCGCTCCGCGCTAGCTGGCGCAGCGTACCATTTCCCCTCCACCATGCGCTCACTCGTTTCCGAGTCAGACTGTATCCGTTGGCGCGTGTGGACATTGTAGACGTGCAAACCTCACCCATGCCATCACCGATCATCTTCCCGACATCCTCGCGCCCCGGCCGTGCACCTCCGTCACGCACACGCTGCACGATACCAAGATACGAAACGAAGCTAAACGAGCTTCAAGTTCTGTGCACGAGCCGCACCCCTCACCCCTTGAAGAGGGTATGTCCCCCCTTTGCCTTCCCTTGCGCCGGACATGGGAGAGGGGGGGGCATCATGCCCCTCCTTGGCGGTGGAAGAACGAAGGTCGCGGTCGGGCGCATGGTGGTGTCAGGGGCAGGATGTTGGGGTTAGGGTTAAGGTGTCAGGGTTAGGGTGGTAGGGTCATTGTGTTCGGGCAAGGATCTCATGGTCAGGGTGCTCAGGGTCAGGGGGCTCGGGGTCAGGGTGTTCACGTGTCAGGGTTGCGGTCAGCGTGTTCGGGTTAGGGTTAGCTCGTCAGCCTCAGGCTTCGCGTGCTGGGGTTCGGGTGTCAGCGTCAGTGTGTTATGTACAGCTAGGGTGTTAAGGTTAGGATGGTAGGGTTCGTTTTATGGTACTTTGGGTCGGGTGTTAAAGATAGGGTGTTAAGGTTAGGGTGGTAGGCTAGGCTTTGTGGTGTTAAGGGTAACGTGTTGCAATACAGTCGGCCCGGATTAGTAGGTCGACCCTGCCAGCTCAAGGGTACTTCAGTGTCTTGTGCCTCGCGACACGTGCCTTCTTACACTCCTATGGCGATGTGGACCTCGGAAGGGTCTTGTGTCCTCTCGCGTGTCCTGTCCAATCAAGGCCGGCTGTAAGGGATGGGGTTAGGGCGGCAGGGTTTGGTTTAGGGTGTTAGGCTTAGGGTGCTTGTTCGTGTAGTCGTCGTCGTAGTCGTGGTTGTAGTCGCAATCGTAATCGTAATCGTAGTCGTCGTCGTCGTCGACGCGGCAGAGATTTGATGCCCCTCCATTGTTTGGCGGGCTGGAATATGTCGGATTGTGTCTCCCACGGAATAATCCATTGTGGGCTACCTTGCATG